ACACTCTGAGGGCTTGAGTCTGTAGCAAGTTATTAATTCTAAGTCTGTTTTAAAATGTCCAAACCTGGGTTACATTTTTAAATGATAATCTGTTGACTTGGTATCCTAAATATTTTTAGTATCAGATTTTTCTGTCTAGTTGTCTGAAAGTGGAATAAAATGAGAACTGCTTTAAAAGGGAGAGTATAGAATATAAGAATGTTAAAACTTGTAGGTATATTAAGGTTTTTTAATAAATGCACTACTAATTTAATCATTTTAGGTGATTTTTTTTCTAGTATTGTAATAATTTTGCTACTGTTTTAGGAGAACAGTTACAGTTCATTGTGACTACTCAATTCCATTTTTAAAGCACATTCAGGACAATAATAAGGTCTTAATAACTGGAACAACCTACTCTTCTTCTTCTTCTTCTTTGAGGGGTGTCCCTGGGCGTGTTCCACTTTAGGCATTTCAGTGCCCCTGTGCTTCTGAACTGCCTTAGGCTTGGCTGGAACCCAGCAGCGCACCGGTTCATTATACAGATAAGATTGTTGTTAGCATAGTTTTACCTAGTTAGTGTTTCCTTTACAATATTTGGGTACTTTCCTATTTTTCTTAAAACAAACAAACTTTCTAGCTCCTGTTTTTCTCAGTTAGTCTGATAATTATGCCAGGCTCTCCTGGCTTTAAAAGATGCCTTACTTGCAGGCTGTCCATCCCTATATTGAATGGAGACACTCAATGCATTCGGTGCCTCCCTGGCTGCCCACTGCGAAGGGACTTTTGTCCTAGCAGTCAAAGACTCGGGTGTTTAATAGGGCTCACAGACCACACACTGCCCTGACCACCAGCTGACAGGTGCCAGGCCTACTCTTTAGCATCCTTACAATTTAGGATTGTTGATTATTTATCCCTCTTAGAAAAATACATGTGCAACTTTTTCAAGAGAATGAAGACCTTTTATGAGAATGATGACCTTTCAAGAGAATGAAGACACTTCCACAGGAGCACAAGAACCCTTTTAAATCCAGCCTTGAAGAGGGATCACTCATAGCCAGGATGGCATTGCAAACATTCTTAGATTCAGGTGATATAGCATCACATTCTTTGGCGATAGGGAAGTGCAAAATACAGTTGAGGATCTTCACTTTGAGGTGCAAAAACTATTCTTCACCTCCACAGATCCCTCCCCATTCAAAAATATTATAGGGCTACACTGAAGACCTTGGGGTATGTACATTTCCCAGTCAAAGAAAAAACAGAACCAGTTCTTTACCCCCTCCCCCACCCCGGTCCAGATCATTCATTTACACCTTTCAACAGAGAGGCTATGACCTAAGGTGTCACCAGATACAGCAGAATAGGAGGCAACTTCAAGATCAGTCAGCTGTGCCCCAGCCTTTAACCACCAGACAGGCATTTTTAGGCATTGGTTAAGGGTTTGACATCAGTTCCTCTACACAGCCAGCATCATTACAGTCTGTGTCTATTCCATCAAGCCTGGTTGCTCATTACATCCGACAAATGGGTGTTGGAGACAGTCTCCAAAGGTTGTACCATTCCTTTTTTCTCCTTCCCTCCAATACAACCCTCTTCCCCATCCCTCTCCAGGGACCCTTTTCATGAGATCCTCCTACAATAGGAGATAGACAAGCTACTTTCAGTGGGAGCAGTAGAACCACTGCCAGCTCCCCACAGGGGAAAGGGGTTTTATCCCTGATAATTCTTAACTCCCAAAAAGACAGTAGGTTGGAGACCCATCTTGGACCTTTGCAGATTGAACAGATATCTAAGGAAACAACACTTTACCATGGTAACACTGGCAAAGATAATTCCATCATTGGAAAAAGGAAACTGGATGTTATCCCTCGACCTACAAGATGTCTGCTTTTTCATTATAATTTGCCCATTGCACAGGAGGTTTCTCAGATTCAACCTAAGAGACCATCACTTACCAATATTGGGTCCTTCCCTTCGGACTCCCCTCAGCCCCCAGGGCATTCTCAAAGGTTGTGGTGGTAGCAATAGCTTACTTAAGAAGATCAGGTGTGTTAATCATCCCATACCTGGATGACTGCCCCATAGCTCACCTAGCAACAGAATCCACAGCATGAACTATCAACTCGTTCTACACTCTGGGCCTGCAAATAAACACACAGAAGTCCCATCTGATTCCTACTCAGGAATTGGGATTCCGAGGGGTGACACTGGATTGTGTGTGAGCACAAGCCAGGCTACCGTATCAGGATTTCCAGACATTAGCTGTATTAGCGCAAACCATTATCAATAGCCCTACAGTGTTGTCCAGACAATGCCTACGAAGGCTAGGCCACATGTCGGCCACAACCTGCATGGTGCCATTTGCCCAGTTGCATATGTGTTGCCTTCAAACATGGCGCTGCACTTATTTTTGACTGCACAAGCATAATCTGCTCAAAATCTTGAGCCCTCCAGAAAGGGTAATGGAGTCCATGTGTTGGTCATTGCTGCCCTACAACCTTTGCATGGAAGTGCCATTCCAATGGACCCCGCCCTCCATCACAATAATAACAGGCTCTTCTCGAAGGATGAGGTGCACACCTGGAGGACCACAACATTCAGGGAAGATGGTGTCCTCTGAAGTCAGTGCTCCATGTCAACATTCTGGAGCTTTGAGTGGTCAGAAAGGCATGCGAATATTTCCTCTGATTCGCAATGCATCAGTAAGAATCCTTATGGACATGCATGTTTTATATAAACAGGCAAGGACATGCCAGGTCTTATTCTTTATGCAGAGGTGCCACTGCTCTGTGGCACTGGTGCATGGAACATCTTGTGAACATTCTGGCAGTGTGTCTCCCAGGAAAGCAAAATGTGATGGCAGACCACCTGAGCAGAAACTTCCTTCAAAAGTATGAGTGGGCGATCCACCCACAGATTTTGCATACTGTATTTCAGAAATGGGGCTTTCCGGAAATAGACTTGTTCACCTTATTTTGCAGTGCAAAATGCCACAATTACTGCTCTAGGGTAGGCCTCAGAATGAACTCCTTAGGGGGTGCCCAGTTATTCAGTTGAGTGGGCAGGCTCACGTATGCTTTTCCTCCCATACCACTCCTCAGCAAAGTCAGCCATAAAATAAAGCAAGATGGGGCCCAAGTGATATTAGTAGCACTGGCATGGCCCAGAGAAACTTGGTTTCCTTACCTGTCACAGATGGCTGTAGCTCCTCCACTTCGTCTTCCACAAGTTCTGAACCTTCTATCGCTACCTTCTTGGGACTTGAACCTCGTCCTTACAACATTGACGGGGATGCCCCTTTGAACCAATGGTGACTTGTTCACTTTTACATCTTTCAGTGAAAGTTACTTTCCTCGTGACCATCAATAAGGCAAGATGAGTTAGTAAGCTCTCCACACTCATGGCCAACCCTCCTTTCATGATATTTTATAAGGACAAAGTGGGGGTTAGATCTCACCTGAAATTTAGCAATTTAGATGTTCTCCCAGACTGTTCCTATCCACAGGAGATTGTTCCATGGATGAAGCCATTTCTAAACAGATTTTCTAAATCGATAGCCAACTGCATCAAGATGTGCTATTTAATCAACAAAGTGCCACTTCCAGATGAAATACAGGCTCGTACCACCAGAGCAGTCGCTACCTCTAAAGCTTTCCTTTAGAATGCCCTATCAATGACATTTATAAGGCTGGAACATGGGCTTCAATGCATACCTTTGCAAAACATTATGCTTTAGATAGGTATGCTTCACAACATACTCAGTTTAGGGTGGCAGTTCTATCCACTGCTCATGCTACATGTCCAAAGCTCCTCTTTCCAAATTCTCAGGGTACTGCTCTGGAGTCGCCTACTGTGGAGCACCCAGACGGACACTCCTCGAAGAAGAAAAAAGAGGTTACTCACCGTGTGCAGTAATTAGCGTTCTTTGAGATGGGTGTCCTTGTGGGTGCTCCACAACCCTCCCTTCTCCCCTCTGCTTCCCTATCTTAACATCTGCTCTGTGGTACAGAAGGAACTGGGGGAAGGTTGACGACGTGCACATTGGCACATTCTCTGTGGCATCGGTACTGCTGCTAAAAAGTTCTGATTGTAAGCGCAGGGGTGCCAAGACACCTGCAGTGGAGCACCTTCAGGGACACCCATCTCGAAGAACGCCAGTTACTGTACAAGGTGCGTAACCTCTTTTTTTCTGTATGGCAGCATAATATTCTGTATTTTAGGCATTCACTGCAAGATCTAATTAAAGCAGACAAATTTGAGAGAGGAGTATTGGAATGTTATAATGGGCATTTTGCATGTATAAATGGATAAATGAACAATCATGAATTTATAAATATTGTAGCAGTTTTATGATTTAAATACTAGTCAGTACTTAGAGGTCTACTGATGAAAAGTGCTTTAGAAGTAGGCTTGGCAGAATTTGATTTTTATTTTATTGTGATTTTGATGATTAATATTGATTTTTATTTTAAAATGTCACTGATTTTTAACCATTTTAATTTTCACAATTGCAAGAAATTAAGGGTGGGAGTTACAGCAGTGCTGGCATCAGAGCTGCAGAGGTTTTCCAGCAGGGATTACAGAGGGGCCCCCGTGCTGCCAGAACCTTCAGGCACAAGGTGCAGGAAAAAGTGCGGTCCTGGGTTGGTAGAATAAATGTCTCTGGCCAGGACTTCAAGGAGGACAAGCTCCTAGACATTGAGGAGACCGTCTGCCTCCACACAGCCCTGGTTATGATTTGCAGAGATTCAGTATTATCAGTCCTGTGGCAGTGCAGGGAACCCTCAGTGATTCCACCATTACAGCCCTGCTTAATTGCTCCCATGACAGTGGGACTTCAGAGGGTTTCCTGTGCTGCTGCAGAGCTTATGACACCCAATTCCATGGAGGGGAAGAATAGGGTTGCACTTGTGATGACTGTTGCTCATGGATATGTTCTTGTCATTTAAATGCAATTCACATGGCAAACCTCTATGTCTGTCAGTTCCTTTTTAATAAATTTTTTTCCCCTGCTTTTAGTCAGCAGATAAGCAGCGAGCCTTAGAAGAAACCAAAGCCTACACAACCCAGTCCTTAGCAAGTGTAGCTTATCTGATCAACACATTGGCCAACAATGTTCTGCAGATGCTGGATATCCAGGCATCCCAGCTTCGTCGCATGGAATCTTCAATCAATCATATTTCACAAGTGAGAGTTTTTGCTTATATCATTCAGTATGTGTTGCTGAAATCATATAGGAGATACCACAGGGGTTTGACTTATCTAATCTTATGATGCATGATGTGGCTAAGGAAACACCGTTGGCATTAAATTACTGGGGCATCTTACTGCACTTGACTCACATTTGACTTAGATTCATATATATTTATAATTGTAGTTTATTATTTTTTCCTAAACCAAAATGTATATGTAGTATGAAGGTTTATTAAGAAATATGTACAGAATAGCGTATTAGGTGTGTCTGTTTCATATTTCAGATGAAGGCAAATAATCCCAAAAGGCATCTGGCAGAATGCCTTGGGACATCTCTCTCTAGCCCAGGGGTGGCCAACTAGTTAGAGACGAAGAGCCGAAATAGCTGTGAATAGAGTGCAAAGAGCCACGTATTATATACTCACTGCTTTTTATTTAGTTTTCTTTTGACATTGATTATGGAACATGGTAAATTTAAATAATGGGAAAACCAGGTATTTGAAAAAAGAATCTATTTACTTATTTATCAAATGAAGTACAAGAGTTGATGTTGAAATGCACTCAAGAATAGAGGATTTTCTTGTGAATTGTGCAAAACTCTGCATTCTTGATACTTAACATCCTTAATCTACAGCTCATTTTTCAGACACAGATGCAGATCTCTACAGATTTATACCCACCAGTTTGCCAAGTACTTCTGTGTTGCCAACTTACACAATTTGATGTTTTACTTAAAAATCTGAGCTTCTGGAAATAAGTGATTACAGTAAAACTTCATTGGTCCGGCACCATCGGGAACCCGGAAGTGCTCCGTGCAGCCGGACAATCGGAGCTGCTCTGCGCCCGGCTTCCCCGCTTCAGCCGCTGCTGAAACTGACCAGCGGCTGATTCTAGGAAGCCCGGGGCAGAGCAGGGGTAACTAGTTAACTTTTACCTAGTAAGTATCACTCGGCAAGATGATACTTAACAGATAATAGTTAACAGGTAGCAGCCTGTCGCGGGAGGATGGCTGCTGCAGCCCAGCTAGGCCCCCACGTGAGGCTGGTAGCTCACCCCACATGTCTGGCAGCTAGCCCCGTGTGGCTGTTGGCTAGAGTGGGCTGTTGTAACAGGATGGCTGAAGTCTGCACTACGGACGGCGTGGCCCCATCCTATCTGCTGGCCAGCGGAGGAGCAGAGCGCTGCTGGGGAGGGGGAACTGTGGTGATTCTCAGCGCCGGGCTGCCCACATGCAGCTGCAGCGCGAGGAGGCGGGAGCTGGCAGACAATTTTAAAGGGCTGTGGCAGCTCGGTTCCGGCTGCGTGTCCCCAGCGCAGCTAGGCCACGCCCCGCCGGCTCCAGTCCTGCCATGGCCCCAGCCCCCTCACCGGTGAGAGACCGCTCCAGGCCAACTGCCCGGCTCGCTGCGCCTGCCCTGTGCCCCATCTGGTTCCTGCTGCCCCGCCCTTACACCCCACACCCTGCTTCCCCCAATACCTGCCCCCCAGCTTTGTGCTGCCCGTTCCCTGCACTGCCCCTAGACCCCAATCCCTCTGCCCCTCCCGTTCCCCACGTCCCATTCCCCGTGCCTCCACTGCACCCCGCACACTGCTCCCCCCCAATCCCTGAGTCCCTTCCCTGTGCCACTCCTGTCCCGCTCCCCCCACTGTTCCCTGCACCCCTCTGGCTCTGTGCTGTCCCTGCACCCTGTTTCCCCTGTGGGTCGGGAGTGAGGGGTGCTTGCCCATAGGGAGGACAGGCCAGTGAAAAGGCTGCTGTGACCCAGCAGGGAGTGAAAGGGGGTGTTCACTTGAAGCGCCTTTGCCTTTATGGGGAAAAAAAAAAAAAAATGAATGAAAATGCTATTTGCTATTTATAGGGATAAAATGCTGGGACAAAAATGAAAACAAACAAAAAAAACCATTGCAAAATGCAAACATGTAAAAGAAAACAAAAGGAGGGGGGAAATGTTTTACTTGGGGCAGCAAAAAACCTAGAGCTGTCTCTGGGGGAGGGGAAGAGGCTGGGCTGTGGGGAGAGAAGGGGAGGGGAAAAATATGGGGAAGGGACTTGTGCTGAGGGGAAGAGAGGGGAGGAGGTCAGGAGAAGAAGAAGAAAAGGGAAGGCACCAAGGGACGGGTGCAGGAGAGAGAAATCCCAGGGGGCCAAGTGGAGACAATTAGGAAAAGGGCAGGAGGGGAGAACAGAGTGATGCTGGGAGAGGAGAGGGCAAGGGCACTGGGGACTAGAGGGGGGAGGGGAAGGTGCTGGGAGAAGGCTTGCAAGAAGGGGTGGGCATGAGGAAGGTGGAGATGGAGAGGGCACATGGTCATGAGGGGATTGTGTGAGGGCACAGGGTCATGAGGGCAATGGAGGCAGAGGGGGTGGGCATCAGGGAAAAAGAGGGCAAAGGGGAAGGGGCAATGAGAGGCACCAGGAGGATGCAGGTGCCAGGAGATTCTGGGGATGAAGCAGAAGGGCTGGCACCTGCAGGGGATGAACCAGCACTAGAGGAGAGAGGCAGGGCAGGTGTAGAGGGAGGTGTTAGAAGAGGGGATGAGGAGGGGTAGCTCACATGATCAGAGTAGGGCTACTGGAGGAGTGGGCACGGGGGGAGAGAAGGGCTGGTGGAGGGGGGCAGGTCGCAGGAGGGCTGAGGGCAGTGAGAGGGGCAGGAGTCAGGACAGCAGAGGAGGGTGAGAGGTTGCGGGGCAGCACGCACCAGGGGAGGTGATGGAGCAAGGGGAGGAGACATGGCAGCAGAGGGAAAAGGTAGACATTTATAAGATATTTATTAATAACTTGGGTGATATTTATTAAGAACGTATTAGTAATTACTGTTCTTAATCTTATTAGGAATTTATGCCATTAAAAAAACACTTTTTGGCGGGGGAGGTTGGCCCTTTTTTGTCTGGTGTGTAAGGTTTTCCGTAATTTGTCGAGCCCTGTTCGTTACTATTTATGAAGAGCTTTGAGATCTTTATATAGTAGACATTATAGAAGTGGAAAGTACTATTTTGTCCAAGCTGATCAGTTTTTATGCGGCATATGTGAGAATCTTGTTATATTTTTTT